ACCCCCACCATCATCATTTTTACCATCTTCATCACCACCACCATTATCATCATTACCATAATCACCACCACCATTTTCATCATCAACATCACCATCATCATCACCAACATCATTGTGGTTATAATCGTCTTGAAGCAAGTGATGAGGAGCACTAGTGTTTGCATCTCACCTGTTTTATGTGTAACATATGACTGGATAAAGTTCTGCGGCCAAGACAAGTTCTCTTTGTTTAAAACCTTTAAGAGAGAAACGGAACAATGATTATTATTTGCATCATTCACATAAACACCTGCACATTACAGCTCTGGCATTTAGATTTTCAATCCATGTGTCGTTTCGATTCAGTTGTGTAAGCAAAAAATGAAGCTAAAAAAACTATATAAAATAGTGCATGGAAAAAAAGTATTTTTGTTTCTTATTTTGGACATTTCGTCTTGTTTCTAATCCAAATATCTAAAACGTCTTAAATCAAGAAGCGTTTTTCAGACCAGTGTTCCCCAACCCTATTCTTGAAGACTACCGAGGCTGTGTCCTATATATTATGTGAAAAACAGTATGCGAGACGTACCCGGATGACCGACTACTAAATGTAGTACCTACTCGTGTAGTAGGCGCCCAGCACTACACATTTTCAAACTCTTCCTTATCCAACACTCAAGAATCAACTCATGAGATCACTAGAAGAGACTCCAGAACCTGAAATTAATGGTCAGATAAGGGAGACATCCACAATATGTACTGGTGGTGTGCCTCAAGGAACAGGGCTGGGAAACACTGGCCTTGTTTTTAGGGGGAAAAAAAGAAGTCAAAATGGAGTTAGTTTCGTCTTATAACTAGCAAAATAATCTTAAAACAAGATATTTTGCACTTGCGTTAGTGCTGCTTGATTATTACAGAAATCATAATTGTAGAGCGGAGCTGCAAAGGTACCATTTGTTGTTTTGGTTCCTATATTTATTAGTCTTCTTCCATTTCTTCAGCCGCGATTTGAATGGAAGCCTATATAAGAGTTTGCTCGAAAGTTAAAAAATTTGGATCACTAGTAGAGGATAACCTCCTTGTTAATTACAGCAAATTTACACCGTAAACTCTTTAGCGCCACCACTTGTCCAAAATAGCAATTTTGAAATGGTAATAACTTTCGAACCGTAGATCACAGAATTAAAATTCCAATTTCTTGGCTTATGGCTATTCAATTTCAAATCGTAAGATGTACTTTTTTTCTATTTTTAAATGTTCGTAAAAAACCTACTTTTTCAAAGTCATCCTAAACAGATTGTCCAATTTCACGAAAATTGGCTAGAATCATCTTCAGACCATGGTGGCAAAAAAAGTTATGGAATTTAAGACGGTTACTTAAAATGTTGTCCAAAAACGTGAAATTCAATTAGTCAAAAAGCACGCAAAATAACACTCAAGGCTATATCTTGGCAACGTTTAACTCTATTCATACCAAACTTGCTGTGTTCGCCTGCACAGTTTCATTGCAAGGCCACCTAGTGGTCAGGGGATTTGAAAAACAGCTCTTTTCGCTTATATCATGTGAAGGCTTTCACCAAGTTTCATAATATTGGTCTCAGAGTGACATTCCGAGTCGAATGATATCCAATTTTTTCATGTTCGCAATTTTATGTGTTGGCCATATTGAATTTTGTCGAAAAATGCTATTTTTCATGAACGCATTGAGGTATCGCCACAAAAATTGGTATCTTCAACACTGCCCTGAAAGTGCTCAAAGTTGCAGAGCAGTGCCACCTTGTGGCGGAAAGTTATAAAGAAATGTAGAAAATTGCTAATAACTTCTGTTACATTGACCTCATTGTAACGGGACTAGTTTTGATCTATTTCTTGGATAATTCTTCAAACATTGATACCACATTTTTTATATTTTGCAAAACTTCCTGTCCGCCATTTTGATTGAACTTGAAAAGCTACTTTTTCAAACTCCTCCAAGACTGTTGGTCTGATTTTCACCATTTTGACAAAAAGTGATGGAATTAGTGTCGATAGCTTTAACGGTTTTTGTTTATCGCACCAACAGATGTGCTGGCATGATGCCTAACTAAATCTGAGGCTGTATCTCTGCAATGCCTAAAGATATTGACACCAAATTTTAGGTGTGTCATTGGCACCTCACACTGACCCCACCAGAATAATATAGTGACAGCACCACCTATGGGTCAAGAGTTATAAGACATTCATTAGTCATCATTAATGAAACTTACAAATTTAGTTATAACTTTTGACTGCATATTCTTATTTTGACAAAATTGGTCTCAAATTATTCCTTGGGTCAGGTCGGCAACACAGACACCAATGATGCCATCAAACCTACTGTTAGGCGTCTTGATTTTGCTCTTCCTTGACCATGACATCAATTTTCACCACATTTGAACCAGATCCTTTTCAGATAATGCTGACAAAGTTATGGAATTTGTGTTGATAGGTCCAACTGTTTTTGTTTTCTGGACTAACAAATATGCTGGTACAGTGGCAAACAGTGTCTGAGGCTGCAACTCTGCAATGTTTTAATATACTGACAACAAACTTGATGCGTCTTTGTTCATTCTGCCTCTGGACTGCTTTGCTCATTCTGCCTCTGGACTGCTTTGCTCATTCTGCCTTTGGACTGCCTTGCTCATATTGCCTCTGGACTTCTATGTTCATTCTGCCTCTGGACTGCTTTGCCTGTTCTGCCTCTGGACTGCTTTGCTCATTCTGCCTCTGGACTGCTTTGCTCATTTTGCCCCTGGACTGCTTTGCCTGTTTTGCCTCTGGACTGCTTTGCTTATTCTGCCTCTGGACTGCTTTGCTCGTTCTGCCTCTGGATTGCTTTGCTCATTCTGCCTCTGGACTGCTTTGCTCATTCTGCCTCTGGACTGTTTTGCTCGTTCTGCCTTTGGACTGCCTTGCTCATATTGCCTCTGGACTGCTTTGCTCATTCTGCCTCTGGACTGCTTTGCCTGTTCTGCCTCTGGACTGCTTTGCCTAACCTGCCTCCAGACTTCTATGTTCATTCTGCCTCTGGACTGCTTTGCTCATTCTGCCTCTGGACTGTTTTGCTCGTTCTGCCTTTGGACTGCCTTGCTCATTCTGCCTCTGGACTGTTTTGCTCGTTCTGCCTTTGGACTGCCTTGCTCATATTGCCTCTGGACTGCTTTGCTCATTCTGCCTCTGGACTGCTTTGCTCATTCTGCCTCTGGACTGCTTTGCTCATTCTGCCTCTGGACTGCTTTGCTCATTCTGCCTCTGGACTGCTTTGCTCATTCTGCCTCTGGACTGCTTTGCTCGTTCTGCCTCTGGACTGCTTTGCTCATTCTGCCTCTGGACTGCTTTGCTCATTCTGCCTCTGGACTGCTTTGCTCATTCTGCCTCTGGACTGCTTTGCTCGTTCTGCCTCTGGACTGCTTTGCTCTTTCTGCCTCTGGACTGCTTTGCCTGTTCTGCCTCTGGACTGCTTTGCTCATTCTGCCCCTGGACTGCTTTGCCTGTTTTGCCTCTGGACTGCTTTGCTCATTCTGCCCCTGGACTGCTTTGCTCATTCTGCCTCTGGACTGCTTTGCCTGTTTTGCCTCTGGACTGCTTTGCTCATTCTGCCTCTGGACTGCTTTGCTCATTCTGCCTCTGGACTGCTTTGCTCATTCTGCCTCTGAACTGCTTTGCTCATTCTGCCTCTGGACTGCTTTGCTCACTCTGCCTCTGAACTGCTTTGCTCATTCTGCCTCTGGACTGCTTTGCCTATCCTGCCTCCGGACTTCTATGTTCATTCTGCCCCTGGACTGCTTTGCTCATTCTGCCTCTGGACTGCTTTGCTCATTCTGCCTCTGGACTGCTTTGCCTATCCTGCCTCCGGACTTCTATGTTCTTTCTGCCCCTGGACTGCTTTGCTCATTCTGCCTCTGGACTGCTTTGCTCATTCTGCCTCTGGACTGCTTTGCTCTTTCTGCCTCTTAAGTGCTTGGCCCCATTATTGCTGCTTGCAGCTATATTTCCTTTTGAAATTGTAGTTGTGATTATTACATAGCTTAAATAGCTTTCTAACATTGTTTGAGCAATTGCATGGTATAAGATGCATTGATTTTGAAATAAAAAGTGCAATATGCATTCAAAAAAAATGAATAACATAGTCAAATATAATACTGAATATTAATTATTTTTTGTAATCACTGCTTTCAATGATTCTGAAAACGTGGCATCCTTAACTGCGATTAGAAAAGTGTTTAATTGTGCAGACCTAGCTCATGTGGAGACATCTTTGTGCCATTGTCATCTTTCTTTAGTGTGTGTGTCAGAAACTTACTTTCTTATGGCACTTGGGGCACATCCACATGCCCCGGGTGGCAGTTTTGAGCGGTGGATGCAGGCAGTCGGGGTGGTAGGCGCGGGTACAAGTGTGGCATGGCTGAAGATCTCCTTCCTGTTTACAAACTGCACAGTGCTCGTCATGCTGCAGCGGCTCCTGTGTCGCACATACACATTTCTTTTTATGCATTGTGAGGACATTCCGTAGATTTCCAGTGTTTTATACAGTACAAACTGTATTTTTTTATCCTGCTAACCCACCCCTATCCCTCAACCCAATCCTCACCTTTCTGAAATAAACCCATTCTGTATGATTTATAAGCTTTTGAGATATGGGGACATCAGCAAAGTCCTCATAGCTCACCCTCTATTCGTAATATCCATGTCATTACATACATTTGTGTCACTAAAACACCCCCCCCCCCCCACCCCCCCATTATACATAGTTTACAAAAAAACTGACCTTGTTAAGTACGATTTTGAAGCGTTTTGAATTACAGGGACACAACATGTGTATACCAGCTTAATAGAGTCTAGTAACTAATACACATCTTAATATACAACTTTGTGTCCCTGTAAACCACATACACACACACACACATAACTATGAAGCATTTCGCACATTAAATTAAACGGCAAACACATTTTAAATGTAAAATATTCAGTGATTACTGCACGTTTTTAAGGAGTCTATTATTTTAGGAGTGTATCACATAATTATTTACATTGAGATTTTTCACTAAAACTGTATTTAAGATTTTGGTAACGTTGTTCATAAGACTGTCAAGACTACTTTATAATCCTGACATATGACTGTCATTAGTTGTCATTCACTCAGTTATGTACTTTTAAATGCTAAGATGACATCGTTTGAAATGTCTTTGACAACCTGACATTACAAAGACGGGACAACTTGTCATAAATCTGTCATAAACATGATTGTCATGAGGCCATTATAATAGTTTTTTTTCTCATTTTGTCGATGCCGCAAACTGAATTTGTGATTAGGGTGCTTTCAGACTTTTGTTTCGGAATCTGACTCGTTTCCCCAATTAGCGCGGTTCGTTTGCCATATGTGAAACTAGAACCGCGCTCAGATCCGTGCCAAAACAATCGGTCCGAGATCTCCTGAATGAGGTGGTCTCGGCTCGATTGAAGCGAACTATGGAGCGGAACGATTGTCGTGAGAAAGTAAACAATCCGAGCCCGGCTATATCACAGTGCAGGGTTCAACACTAAGGATTTTTCCTACTGGCCCGATTGGACCAGTGGCAAAAAAAACAAAGGTAATTGCTATTTCTTAGCCACGTATATTAAATAATGTGTTACAAAATACTGTCTGTGAATCTAAAATTTAAATATTTGAAAATATAGAGTAGAATATAGAGTGTGGAAAATAGGCAGGTATTTTATTGCAAAACAAAAGGTGGCTGACTTAAAAGTGACGGCAAACTAAGCAAAACATCACTTTACTCTTTTCGTCATGTTGTACCCATGTAAGAAGCAGACGTTTTCTTTTAGCCTCGCGGAAATGTTGCCATCTATTAAAATTTTGTGACAAGGCAGCACTGCCCCGATCAGGCCAGTAACGATTCTGTCTACTGTCCCGAGCATCTCTCACGCTGGCCCTGGGCCATCAGGCAGTCCTTATAGTTGAGCCCTGCAGTGTTTAATGGATATGTAATAGGTATATATGGCTATATGAAGAAAGAATTATGAGTAGGGCGAGATGTCATTCCTACCGGTAAATGTGCGTTTCATATCTATTACGAAAGTGAAAGCATGCTGAACTATTAACGAGAGCCGTTAGGAACATTAACAGAACTGCAGTCTAGCCAAGGGCTATGCATTAGAGTCTTACCTCTGATTTGTATCTGGTGACGATGTCTGTGGACGTCACCATTCAAAATTGAAGCGCAGCTTTCCGCTTATAACGTCTTATAGCTCATTGCCATAAATTCAAATAAGGAAGCATGTCAGCTGAGCCAAAATAAATCGTGAAACTCTGACCAATGTGAGGAGAGTTTACTCACACGTGACTTGTTTTACCTCTTTTGGTCCGTTTAGAAACTTTGCCTTATGGAAACCAAGAACAAAGAGCAACAATGTAACAATTTTAACCCCTGTTTCGGAACAAATGAATCAATTTACAGGTGTGAAAGCACCCTAAAAATGTCAAATGATTACTACAGGAGTCATTTTCAAAAATCAATTTATAACAGCAGCATCGAGATTTTTCTTGACCTCAATGCCACAGAAACTACAATGCCACAACTTGAATTTTGCCTATAAAATTAGTCATTCCAACGGAAGAGCAGATGATGAAAATGAAAGATTAAATTACATATAAAATGTAAGACCAACTCCATGGTATCCTGATATATTTGTCCATTTTCATGTATTCAAAATGACCAAAAGCTTTATTTGCAGTGAGATTAGGGCCATGGCTGCGTCCAAAACCGCATACTTCCATACTATATAGTACGCTAAAATCAGTATGCGAGCCGAGTAGCATGTCCGAATTCATAGAATTCGAAAATCAGTATGCGAAATGTACCCGGATGACTTACTACTTCCGCCGAGATTCTGAAGTGCGCATCCCATGCACGCTGTGCTACCCCATGATCCCCCATGAGAGAATTCATGAATGCGAGTAAATCGACGCAACTGCTGCAGGTAGGTCACGTGACCATGACAAAATGGCGGATGTAGTACATCCGAATTCCATTTATACTTTTCACATTCATACTGTATAGAACTGACTTTTTTAACGGCCGAGAAGTACGGTTAAATTCAAATACAGTACCTACTTAGTAGTAGGCAGTTTCGGACGCAGCCCATGTCTACACTAATCCGGATAAATTTGAAAACGCTTCACGTCCACATTGTCGTTTTCCAAAACTTTGTCATCCACATGGAAACGACTAAAAACGCTTTCACCCTGTACTGCGCGTCCGCGAAATGTAAGACGCTTCGACATGCGTCATTTCCACCTGGTGTTTATTTTCTTTCCAGCTTTTTGAAACATCGCAGCAAAATGTTGAGGAAAAGCTTTTTAAAAGGACTGACAGTGAGGTGGCGTTGCTGTTTTAAGTAACGCATGAATACAAAGTTGCGAAAGAGAGGGAAAATATAGACTGGAAGACGTGCCAAAACAAATACGCCAAAACATTGGACTGCTTCAAAGAACAGTATCCTGCTGAGGACGCTGCTTACCCTCACGATAATCATAATCACAACGAATAATCATAATCACAACGAATAATCATAATCGCAACAAAATTAAAGGCTATAAGGCTTAAGTACAGACACGCGGTAGATTCTGGAAAAAACAAAAGTGGGCATGGAAGAGTAGTACTGTTGGGAGCATCCAAAACAAATGCTGCAAAATGTGGTTCACCATTTTCGCTGAATTAGCAGCATGACTGTGTCACATGACAAAAAAAATGCGTCATCGTTTTTGAAAGGCTCCGTTTTCACAGTCCACACTACGACACGAAAGCATTGTTTTCAAATTTATCCACTTTGGAGAGCGTTTTCAAAAAAGATACGTTTTCGTTTTGTAAAAATGCGCCTCAGTGTGGACGAAAGGGCAAAACGGAGACAAACATATGCGTTTTCAAATGAAAACGTATTAGTGTCGACATGGCCGAAGACACACACACACACACACACACACAAACAGAGTGATGTTAGAATGCAGACATACCTTCCAGCAGAACTCCTCAGTGTCTAGCGTGTGAGTGAAAGCAGACAGTAGGTTAGTAGCCGTCACAATGACAAGACAGAAGTTGCGTCCCAAATGACACGCTAAACACTTATGCACTCGACCATGGGTTTAGCGTCATCCCAGATGAAACACCGACATTCTCTTTCTGATCGGAAACTCCCAGGTGGCGTTTGACGGTTGCCAAATAAATCACCAAACTACCAAATTAAAGACCAATGTGGTGATGTCCCATGAACATTTCCTGCTTCTCACACTATTCCATAACTGTAACGAGTGGCGATAACGTAACATAACTTAGCTATCATAACATTATCAATATATGGCTCTTTTTGAATTCTCTAATGCTATAGAAGTTAAAAATGTCAAACAGGAAATACGTTGGGACCATTGTTCTTGTTTACATCCCTCAAAGTGATCTGTTTAATAAGTGCCTCATTCAGAAGTGTACTTAATTTTATTTATTATTTTCACTACTTACACTATTTATACTACGAAATGAAGTAGAGTAGTGCATAAGCAAGCCATTTGGGACACACCAATAGAGTTAAATAGCATTGCTATGTGCTGTGCGCAGGCTTTATTAGTCAATCTTAAAGGGGCAGTTCGCCTAAAATTGAAAGTTTACTCGGCGCACATACGAACGTAGTCCAATTGTAGTCCTCTCACTTTGATGATGAAACAGTGAGGGTGTGCGCTTGGATGGAAAGTCGGTTTGTTGACAGATAGTGGTGATTATCAAAGACTACAATCAGACTACATTCACATATGCGCTCATTTCTGTTTGACCAGACTTCGTATTTAAGCTAATAATATTGTAAATGATGTTCAATTTCTTACGCAGACCAATCATTTAGCTTCACAAGACCCCAGTTTTCCATCAGGTCTACTGATTTGGATTAATTTGTATGTGTTTACTTTTAATCTAAAAAAACCTGTCAGCATTCACTGTCATTATAAGAATCACCTAAGACCACAGATTCAGCTCAAAAATCTGATCAACTGAGGGGAAAACAATCATTTTTGGAGGACCTGTAGGATTTTCGCTTCTGGGTGAACTATCCCTTTAACAACTATTAAAGCATGAGTTTTATGGGGAACGATTCCAGTTGAATTAATTCTGATCGAACTTATTCCTGTGCAGTTATTTTAATGTTTCAACAACAGAAGCAGAAATCGACACCATTACCTCTTGTGGACAGAAACATCGCACTGTTCAGGTAATTCGAGGCAAGTCGCTTGCGCTGAAAAAGAAAGAAACGAGAAAACGTTTACCAACGAACAGAGCCGTAAAATGAAGAGACTGTAGAAAGGAGCAAACCTCAGGCTCAAACAGGCCGCTGTATGCAGGGTTAGCTGTGGTTCGCCTCTTTCTCTCCTGCCGTTTACTCTGGATCTCTGACACAAGTGAAAACACAGTCCGTCATTAATTCAACGTCTCAAGTGGAAATCCACCGAGAAAAGGATGGAACATGAGAGTGATAGGCAGATTGGTCAGTAATGCAGTCGATGTACCGGTCCGTTGTGGTACTGAAGGAGCTGAGCCGAAAGGCAAATGACCTATAGTCATGAGCTTTGGATCATGACCGAAAAGGACAAGATCTCGGATACAAGCGGCCAAAATGAGTGTCCTTCACAGGGTGGCAGGGCGCACTCTTATGTATAGGGTGAGAAGCTCTGATACCCGGGAGGAGCTCGGAATAGAGCCGCTGCTCCTCCACATCAAGAGAAGTCAGCTGAGGTGGCTCGGGCATCTGTTTCGGATGCCTACTGAACGCCTACCTAAGGAGGTGTTCTAGGCATGTCCCACCGGGAGGAGGCCTTGGGAAAGACCCAGAACACGCTGGAGGGACTATGTCTCTCAGCTGGCCTGGGAACACCTCGAGATCTCCCCAGAGGAGCTGGAGGAACAGTCTGGGGATAGGGAAGTCTGGGGTTCTCTCCTAAGACTGCTGCCCCCCGCAACTCGGCCCCAGAAAAGCGGCAGAAAATTAATGGATGAAAGTGGAAATCCTTGATTTTCTTGAGGTATTTCGATGTTTAATTCAACGTTGAGCAGAATTCAGAATATTAGGCTGCAGTCATGTAACTTTGCCAACCCAAGTTGTCTAAAAACTAATATTTCTAAAACATTTTGTTAATATGTTATTTTTTTATTTAATCCAATACACTAAAAATATATTGCTGCCATAATTTTTTTTGTTACTTTTCTTACACCAGAAATATTAATTTTTTTATTCATTCATTTTCCTTCGGCTTAGTGCAGGAATGGACAAGCTTGCTCCAGGAGGGCCGGTGTCCTGCAGAGTTCTGCTCCAACGGTAACACACCTGAACATGCTAATTACTGTCTTCGAGATCACATGAATGCTTTAAACATGTTGCTATCATTATCAGCGATCTAGCGGCTGCTAATCACTAACAGACTACATATCTGCCATTACACGGACTACATATACTGTCATGCACCACACACACCTCTTCCGGAACACCATTGATTACACCCACACACACAGCCGGAGGATCGTTATGAACTGATTACATGGACTATATATACGCAGCACTAACGCACACTTCAGTGCTGAGTCTTGTTTATCTGCTTTGTGAATATTATGATGTGTTTCCTTTGTCTAGCCTAGCCATGTTTTGACCCTTTGCCTTGTTCTCTCGTTTTGATTCCTAGCTACCTGTACCGATCATTCGCCGGTTTATTGACCACGATCCTGGATTGATTTATTTTCATTTTATTTAATTTTCTTCCGCTTTTCCGGGGCAGAGTCGCAGGGGCAGCAGTCTCAAGAGAGAACCCCAGATTTCCCTCTCCCCAGACACTTCCTACATCTCTCTAAAGGGAGATCCCGAGGTGCTTCCAGGCCAGCCGAGAGACATAATCATGGGTCTTCCCCAAGGCCTCCTCCCGGTGGGACATGCCTGGAACACCTCCCTAGGTAGGCATTTAGGAGGCATCCGAAACAGATGCCTGTTCCGAGCTCCAGAGCTCCTCACCATAAGGGTGCGCCCTGCCACCCTGCGAAGGAAACTAAGTTCGGCACTTGTGTTTGAGATCTTGTCCTTTCGGTCATGACCCAAAGCTCATGACCATAGGTGAGAGAAGGAACATAGATTGACCGGTAAATCGAGAGCTTTGCCTTTCAGCTCAGCTCCTTTTTCACCACAACGGACCGGTACATCAACCGCATTACTGCGGCACCAATCCGCCTGTCAAACTCACGCTCCATCCTTCCCTCACTGGTGAACAAAACCCCAAGATACTTGAACTCTTCCACCTGGGGTAAGGACTTTCCTCCAACCTGGAGATGGCAAGCCACCTTTTTCCAGTGGAGCACCATGGTCTGTTTTGATTAAGGTTGGAGCTAAACTCAGCAGGACACGGGCCCTCCAAGAACAAGTTTGCCCATACCTGGCTAAGTCCCTGATTTATCAGAGATCTCCACAAGTTAAACTTTTGTATCACTTAAATTTAGTTAAAACCTGATAAACTTAATTGAAAAACAGTTAAACATGTAAATGCGTTTGTTGTCGTGCCTTTGTGTCATATAAGTGTTTGTAATATTTTTAAGAATCCTAAATAAACCTGATTATCAAGATCTCTGTTTAGATAATGTACATTACTAAATGCATATTGTTTCATTATATAGCCATCACTGAGAAATTATGACAGTTCGCCATCACTGACATACAGCGAACATAACTCACCCTCCAAGTGTTCTGTTGTGACCAGACCAAGAGCGACCATGAAGGCTATTTTCTGCAGAACAGAAGGTTAAATAGTTAATACAGTATATCAAGAAGTACTTTAGACCTTCTGTTTCTCTTCTGGACTTATCAACATGGCTGTCCACCAATTAATTTACTGATACCCCTTTTCCACTAGCATGAACCAGGTGCTAGGTCAAGGCTAATGGTAATTCGGTGTTGCTTTTGAGTGGTACAGTATGTGTAACGCCGCTGGTCCTACACCACCCAACCCGCTCTGAGCTGGTATCGAACCGGCGACCTTCCTCATAGGAGTCGGCTGCTCTACCAAGGAGCGTCTGTCACTTGAGCACCTTTAGAGGTCAGAGGAGTGAGGTTTACCTGCACAGCATTTACTAGCTAGCCTCTGTTACATACGGTACAGTACGGATCACCTTTATCAGGCTTGCCTTTCCACTGCCAAAAGGCTACTAATGGTAGGTGTGGTGAACGACAAAACGTCATACTCGCTCGAGGAAATGTCTACATTTCCCTACAGTCTCCGATATGTTACCTTCTTAGAAAAACTACACACGCACACGTTGTTATCATCAACTCAAGAAGTTTGCTAATTCAAATGTAGATGTGCGACAAGCACACGCAAGAAAGCGAAGCCGTTTGCTCTTTAAATGGCCTGGTAATCAACTACAGGGCACAGGGTGGATTAAGCTCTTCTTCTTAGCTTTGTGGCTGTTAATCAAGATGACGACAAGGTTTGTTTGAGCTCGGGTCGACCATGGCTTGTTTTTTTATATGTACATTTTAGTATGGTGTAATGTCTTGGCTGTGTATTTAAACATGGCGATTTCTTTGTTTTCATTTTTTTGTCTTGCCCAGTGGGGAAAAAAAAAGTGCACTAAAATGCACTTTATTTAAGTGTACTATTTTCGCACACTAATTTTGTACTTAATGTACTAAAAGATAGTATAAAGTATATGTTAAGATAAACTTAATACCATCTAAGTGTACTCAACTGTGCTATTTTGAGACACTCTGAAATTGAACTAAAATGTGCTTTTAACATACTAAATCTGTATTTTAAAATATATATTTAGTTACAACTAGAAATACACTTGAACCCTACTTTTAAACATTTATAAATATATTTAAGAACAGCTTAAAGCACAGGCGTCAAACTCGGTTCCAAAAGGGCGGCAGCTCTGCACAGTTTAGTTCCAACCCTAATTAAACACACCTGATCAAACTAATTGAGTCCTTCAGGCTTGTTTGAGACCTACAGGTGAGTGTGTTGGAGCAGGGTTGAAACTAAACTGTGCAGGGCTTCAGCCCTCCGGGAATTGAGTTTGACACCCCTGGCTTAAAGCATAATAGTAATATAATAAAATATTATACAAAATGTGAAAGCAGTGTGCTAAAATACACTTTAAGTACACTTATACTTGTTTAGTACTGTACTAAAAGTGCTCTATTTTTACACACTAATTTTGTACTTAATGTACTAAAACAGTGGTTCTCAAACTGTGGTACGCGTACCACTAGTGGTACGCGGGCTTCCTCCTAGTGGTACGCGGAGGAATCGCTGAATAATGAAAGAAACAATTAACACTTTTAATCCTTTAATGCGTAATATAACATCGATGTGATCAGCATTGGCTGTTTTGTGAAGCGTACGATCACAGCGCTGTGCTTAGAGTGTTTATTTTAGTGCATTGTGTCATAAGCTGCTGAAAATCAGTTTCCGAAGTTTAAGAATTGATTCTGAAGTGATTTGACTGACATGAAAAGTGGCCAATCACAGTCGACCTTGTCTAGTTGCGTGAAACGTAAGGGCGGGACAAAGGCTTTCTGTGTTGCAGAGACAGAAAAAACAACTTAAAACAAATGTTTTGTTGGAATAATGCTTCTCGGATGTTTTCACTATAGAGATGTCTAGCAGAGTAAGTAAACCGCGGACATATTTCCTGCCTATTTGATGATCTTCATACACGTTTCGCTCTCCGACAGCCAGTCGACTCGCCTCTGACCTGTCACTCCTCTAATACATTCTGAATGGCGGCGCGGGAATGGAGGTATTGCGCAATTACTCATTTCTGCAAATGTGGCGAGTGCTTTATTTTAACACGAGAGCGCATTCATGTACGCAAATCGCTAAAACAGATATGCTAGCTCCTAAATAGGCTTTTTTCAAATGAACTGCAAGTGCTCTCATGATCGCCTGTGTGCTCAGATAGAATACAATCGCGATCTCTCCACTACTAAAGTAGACATTATTTATCTTTGCTCCTTAACTAAATTTAGTCAAAAGTATTCAAAGTTATCAAGTATTTAGAAATAGATTGATGCATGATCGATGACAATGCTAATGGTCTTCTTATTTGGCTGTGTTGTGAAGTGAAACTTACTTTTAGCAAAGGTGGAACATTTTTTATTTCTTTACGACAAAATAATTATGCTGGAAATGTTTCTGGGTGAGGTATTTGTGTGATTTACACATTTAGCTGTATAGCTGTCTTGAAGCATTACAGGTCAAAGCAATCCATTGTTAGCGTACTTATTGTTTATTTATCACAATTTACAATAAGGCTCTTAAAGCACTGCTTTGATAAAAGTAGTGTCGTCATATTTCAAATACCTCAAGTAAAATGAAGTCATTTGTTTTATTTTTTACTGACAGTGTACTTGTATTTTTTACGTTTCTATTTTAGATTAAGATCAAGTGTAAAATAAAATCTACATGTGATGTACAGCTATTTAAGAAACAAATTTGCCATATTGTAAAGAAAATAGTGTAAAATGTAGATAAAAGGCTAAATTTAAATATTTTACCATATACTTTAATTTAACCTTTCAAAGCTTAAAAGTATATATTTTTAAAAATGGGCAAAAAGTGTCTCTATGGCCTTAAAGATTATGTGGTAGTTTTACCAGTGCTATTGAAAAAGATTAATTGTCATGAAAGGAAAAATTGACTATACTTCCTTTGTTAGTGCAAATTATACATGTAGCTTTGGGATTTAAGCAATCAAACCATTAAATCAGGTTTACACTTAAAAAAAAGTGATTTCATAATGAAAATCAGATTTTTTTTTCAAAAGTAACCAACTAGTACTTTTTAAAAGAGTAATTTGTACTTTTGCATAATATTAGTATTATTTACTAAATTTTTTTTATTTTAGCAGTGTAATAGTATTTTTACTTGAGTACAAAAAATATTTTACAAGCACTTAGTGCAGGCTTATTATATTATTAATATATGATTAATAAATGTTATTATTAATGGTTTTTATTTGTATCTATTCCTATGCAATGTTTTATGGGTTGCTGAAAATACATTTCAGGTCTTTAATACATAGCATGTCAGTCTTGAAAAAAAAATAGGTGCTGGAATTGATTTTCATTAGGCTGTGCCTGTATGAACCCTTTCATATGTACATTTAACATTTATTTCAAGATTTGTCTGAAAGTGTATGAATATGACATATAGCCTATATTTATAAGGTCCAAGCAGCATTTCCAGCTTTTGATGTATAGGCTATTATGAATACTTAAGATTTAAGTACAGCAGTTTTCTTTTTACTTTTTAAGAACAGCGCTTTTAAAAGCACATTTTAACTAAAACTTTTTTTTTTTATCTGCAAGCACAGTTAATGTTCAGACTATTTCAAATGTTTAAAGTGACTGACAATAATACATATTCTTACTAATAGGAAGTAATCTGCATCGTTTTAAAACTGTGCACACCTGTAGCTGCTTAATTAGGCTTACAACGCTATTTTTTAATACTGGTTAAAAAATAGCGTCGTAAGGTGGTACTTGGAGCGACGATTTTTTTCTAAGGTGGTACTTGGTGAAAAAAGTTTGAGAACCACTGTACTAAAAGATAGTATTAAGTATATGTTAAGATAAACTTAATACCATCTAAGTGTACTCAAATGTGCTATTTTAAGACCATGAAATTGAACTAAAATGTGCTTTTAACATACTAAATCTGTATTTTAAAAAATATATATATTTAGTTACAACTAGAAATACACTTGAACCCTACTTTTAAACATTTATAAATATATTTATGACTAATTTAAAGTATAATAGTAATATATTAAAAGAATATACAAATTGTAAAAACAAAACAAAAGTGTGCTAAATACTGTATTAAAAGTATTTTGGGAAAATGTACTTCTACTACAATACATTACTAATAGATTTTTAATAAAGTCAATTTAATGTGAACTTAAAATTACCACACTCAAAATCAATTTAAGTGTTAGTGATAATAGTGCACATTAAGTGTACTTAAGTACAACTTTTGGGAAAATGTACTTCTACCGCAATACATTACTAATAGATTTTTTTATATACATTAACTTATTTTAAACTTAGGATTAGTATGTAAACAGTGTACTAAAAATCAACTAATGTTTAAAGCATTTAAAGCACACACACTAATAAAACTCTTTTGGGTGTTTTTTCTTTAGTGTACTTTATTGTAGTACACTAAAAATGTATTTAAGTATTACTGGTATTTAGTATACTTTTGTCAAGTGTACTAAAGTCCTACTGAAGTATAAACATACTTTTAATTAGTATATTTATAGTGTAAAACCATCAAAGTTTTATTTAACACAAAAAATATTTATCAAAAAATAATATTATTTGCGGGTATTTAAGTGTATTTTAATTGCATTTAATTATCTATTTTTTTCACCTGGGTGTGCATGAGCGAGTGACGCATCTCTGTAAACCAATAGTGTTCAGCTGCACGTCTTGCTCCACATTTTGGTACCCTTTTGTTGTGCTAGGTACACAAAAAGTACCATAAAAGCGTACCGTACCGAACCGCGTAATATCATTGCTCCTGCTGCAGCCATGGTACAGCAGCAAAGTTCCTCGATTATTACGCCAGAATGAGAGTATAGTTCCTAGACATATCAGGATAGAGATAGGAACTTAATCGACCTTTTTACACAATGTAACAACAGAATAGTCAAGCGCTAAATAGAAAAATGATCTAAACCTTTTTGAGTCTACTCAACATGGCAACAAGACAGCTTTGTGCATTACTGTGCTGTTATGCGCCTCTCAACTCGTTCAATAAGGTTAATAAAGGTCAATAAAATTTTACCATCAATAACTTTTTTGTTTTATTGAGTTGTTTTAATCATTCACAAGTGACTGAGGCAAAACAAATAGTAAAAGCCTTACAAAAAAAGTACTTAATGATTGTTACGAGGGATTTTGGTCTTCAGCCAAGTGCATCCAGAATTTTCATTTCGATGTATCCCTACTATACCACTAGAAGACTGAATCTGAGCTCTCAATTACAAGGGACCAAACCTTTGCTACTAGTCAGGATTATTTGTGAGTGTACCTCTGGATCCTCCTCCTTTTTAGCTGGGCTTGAGGGGTCAGGGATTGGCTCCTTTACAGGACTGTCGGTTTGTGACGCCGGAGAACTCTTGGAGTTGCTGGGAATCTGTGGCTGGATGATTATTACCTGGACACACACAATAAACATCTTAAAGGGATTGTTCAATCAAAAATGAATCGCTTACTCTCCCTCTTGTGGTCCCTTATATTGAGATGATAATTTGAAAAATGTTGGTCGCTGGCACTCATTGACTTCCATAGTGGATAAAACAAATACTTTGGACGTCAATAAGTGCCAGCAACCAGAATTCAACAGAATAAACTCGAATGTGTTCAACAGAAGAAACTCAAACAGGTTTGGAACAAGTAAACAGCCACTGAATTTCCTTTATTTGACTTGATCTTCAGCCAGAGTTTGGAAGGTGAAAGATCTTTCTCCATGTGTCAGCAGGAGCTGTGCTGGAAAAATAATTCTGTACTCATGCATTCCCTTGTCTCGCAGCCCTTTTTCGCATGTCATCATAGTCGCGCTGCATCTTGTGTATGCCGGCGGAGAGGTCTGGGTGAAAACAGACTTGTTCGTTATTGTAGAGAACATTTCCTTTGGCTCTGGCTGCCCTTAGCACTTGCTCCTTGTCTCTGAAGTTCAGGAACTTCATAATCAGTGTCTTCGGGCATGTCGTTCGGGATTGGATATTTGTCAAAGTGCCGATTCTATGAGCCCGCTCAATTACCAGAGGTTCCTGCGAATCAAATCCTAAAGCCTCTGGTATCCACTTCTCCAGAAATGTTACTGTGTCCTAGCCCTCTGCTTTCTCCGGTAGGCCCACCAGTCTTATGTTGTTCCGTCGACTTTTGCATTCCAAATCTTCCAATTTGTTTGAACAGTATTCTCAGTGTGCTTACTCTGGATACCAGCCCACTGATGTTATCTTCGGTATCTGAAATGCGTTGCTCCGCTTGTGCTATCTGCCCTGTGCATTCCTTTATCTTCTTACTTAGGGTGCTTTCACACCTACACTTTTGTTTCGGAACGTGTCTCGATTGCCCAGTTAGCTCGGTTCGTTTGGCATATGCGAACAGGGTAATCGCTTGAATGAGGTGGTCTCGGCTCAATTCTGTGAGCCAGAGATTCCCGCGAATCCAATCCTAGAGCGTCTGGTATCTGCTTCTATTGGAATGTTACCGTGTCCTGGCCCTCCACTTTCTCCGGTAGGCCCACCAGTCTTATGTTGTTCAGTCGACTTCTGCATTCCAAATCTTCCACTTTGTTTGAAAGTGCTTTAACAGTATTTTCCAACGTGCTCACACTGCATAACAGCTCACTGACGTCATGTTCGGCATCCGATATGCGTTGCTCCGCTTGTGCTATCCGCCCTGTGCATTCCTTTATGCCCTTACTTATCTTCGGAATTGTTGCTTGGACTCCATACTTTTTTTTTTTGTAAAGTCCACTTTTCAAGGACATTACATCTTCCATAATACCTTCGTTATTTCTATCCAAAGTTACTGCTTCGTCATTATCTTCATTAGAGTCGTCCCCTGCTGCCATATCGTCGTTAGTTTCTTCACCCTCGGAACATTTATCTTCGTTTCTGGTCTTGTCTTTTTTGGCACCTTTATGTGACATTTTACTTCCCTTTACTTTTATATTTGTGTTACTTGACTTTAGATGCAATCCTGGTTGGAATTGTTGGATTGATCGCAAACTAGCAGCAGAGCTAAAAAGTTGCGACTTCTCAGCACCTCATCATAACCGTAAGCCTTTTGAGTGAACTATCACTTTAAATTAACTGATCAGTATTTTCTTGATACTTTATATCATTTACCAAACTTTGACAGCTAGGGCTGGATATGGCTGGATACTTTTTCGGCACCAACCAAGAATATCGAAAATCGGTCTTGTGATTCGATATCAAATTTCGATACGTAAAATGAAGCATTCTCGTTAGTGTTAGTGAACCAATTAGTATGGCAGCAAATCTATTGCAAAAAGAACGAGCGATCACTGACGCTAGCACACATGGTGAACTAATTCTGCGAGAGGTAAGCGATCTACACATGGAAACAAAAATCTGTGCGAGGGAAAACCCCAGCGCACCCCAGCAGAGAACTTTACTAGAAATTCTTAATGTTTACCTGAAATCTATTTGAACTTCTTTCAACACAAGCTCTTTAGAAATATGTTCTTTAGGCTACTTTGTTTTGCGAAAATATAAAAAACTGCTTCAACATATGCAGTTTGATGGTAAAACAAATGCTACGGGGCAGTAGGACGCCTACAACTTTTGTTTCTTTTTCCGCTGTTACTGGACATATTATAGAGCAGGGGTCTCCAAACTTGTTCCTGGAGGGCCGGTGTCCTGCAGATTTTAGCTCCAACCCTAATCAAACACACCTGAACAAGCTAATCAAGGTCTTACTGGGTATATTTGAAACACCCAGACAGGTGTGTTGAGACAAGATGGTGCTAAACCCTGAAAGGACACCGGCCCTCCAGGACCGAGATTGGTGACCCCTGTTATAGAGTAGGACGGTCGCGGAAATCATACCGAAGACTGGGGGAGGGGTGAGGAGCGATCACATACTAATGGGGTTATCACCACTTATCCGCTACGCCACTCGACTCCGTATGGACAACTATTCTGCTGTGGTCAGTTTGCTCAGTAGCTCACCTTGTACAGTGTACTTGGACTGTGGTATGCGTACGAGAAAGTCCAGTAACGCATTTGAGATTATCAAAAAATATAGACAGCGGCCCCAAGTGGATTTCTCAACTCTAACTGCAAGGTAACATCACCGAAGCAATGTTTTCTACATTCCGCAAAAACATAGCCCTGGGCACGTTTTCGTAAAGAGCTTGGGTTGACTTATTTAGATTGATTATGCTGTTTCGTTGTTTTTAAGAGGTTGACTCTGGGGGGAAAAAGCATATCATTATTGCAGTAGGTGATCTTCTGACCTTGCTGTCTGGGCTGAAAATCAGCGGTTGCACCTTGATGGCCTCGGTGACTCCGTGTGCTGCTGGCGAGGTTGCGGAGATGATGGCGTACGCCACCCCTGGGCTGCTGGCGGCTGTGGAGATGCCCTGCGCATATAAAGGCGACGAGCAGCTCTCGTCCTGCCCGTTGGACAGCCTCTCGTGACTGAAGGTGCTGTTGGCAGTTGGCAAAGATGCGCCTTGGCTTTTTGGGCTGACCACGGCCAGGCTCTGTTGGACGGCCAGCGTCTGACCCGACTGCTGCTCTCGGCATGGGCTGTGGGGAAGGCTGTCTGGAATGAGGGTCTTTGGCCTAACCTAAAGAGAGAAAGACTACGTTCAGTGCCCTCAGAAAACAAAGCAGCAGGTTGGCTTAAGATGTCTAGATTAAAGTTGACTTGCTAAATGATCTGAAATTACCAGATACGGATGAAAATTGGTAGCCCTTCTTTGAAATTTGAATTCTTTTTCACCATCACACCAGTGTGATGCTTAAATTACATCACAGTTATTGCAACTACATCCTAATCTAATCATGAAATATCATATGATATATCGTTGGAAAGGTCTAACACTTCTGAATACATATATTACCACTGTTTTTTTTTTGTACATGGGAAGATTGATAGCTTAAACATGTTTAGTATTGTTTTTCTTTTTCTTTAATTGTTAGTATTCCAATTAGTAGGGTCTGTTTGCTGTTTGTGCAGTGTTGTGCTCTACCTGAGGTAGCAGACTGGGTGCGTGTCCCGCCAGCCGCTGCAGAGAGCTGATGTGAGGCACCTTTATAGGGATCGCGGTGAGGGCACCCAGCATCTGTCGAAGACGAAACAAACATACGATGAGGCAAACACAGGAAAAACACATCAGAAGTCCAGGTAAATTGAATAAAGTTGTCGGTGGCACACGTATGCCAGAGCCTGTATTTGCTGAAAGTAGTCAGGATCACGTCGGTATCAGTGTGTTAGTTTTACAGATATCTATAAGCTAGAGTGTTACAAGTCACTAAGTTCACATTTAGAAGATCTCAAACTAACATAAACATCTAAAGTTTGTAGTTTGTTATTTCCGCCTAAATTGACCAACGATTTTATTGACGTCGCCTCACTTCAGTTTCTTATCAAATCTTCGGACCAATCAAATGTTCTCTAGTATCTAGTATCTGACATGCCCCATCCCCTTCAAAAGACTTTTTTTTTTGCTTTTTATTTTATTATTATTTATTAATTTGTGTATTTATTTTAATGTTATCTGTTAATGTGTTTTTATTTTATTATGATTAATTTGTGTATTTATTTTATTATTATTTATTAATTTGTGTATTCATTTTATTTATTTTATTATTATTACTTAATTTGTGTATTTTTATCATTTATTATTTGTGTATTCATTTTATTTTATAATTATTATTCATTAATGTATTTATTTCATTTTATTATTATTTATTAATTTGTGTATTCATCTCATTTATTTTAATATTATTATTTATTTGTGTATTTATTTTATTATTTATTAATTTGTGTATTCATTTTATTTATTTTATTATTATTATTATTCATTTATGTATTTATTTTATTTTATTATTATTTATTAAATTGTGGGTTTATTTTTTTATTTTTATTATTTATTAATTTGTGTATTTATTTTATTATTATTTATTAATCAGTGTTCATTTAATTTATTTTATTATTAATTTTAGTATTTATTTAGTTTTATTTATTATATTATTATTTATTAATTTGTGTATTTATTTGATAAATTTTATTAACATTTAAAAAATTGTGTATTTATTTTATCATGTTATTACTATTTACTAATTTCATTTATTATATTTTATTTATTTTATTATCATTAATTTGTGTATTTATTTTACTTATTACTTTGTGTATTTTTATTATTATTAATTTGTGTATTTGTTTTATTTATTAATGTGTTTATTTATTTGATTTTTTTATCAATTTGTGTATTTGTTTTATTCATTATTTTATTGTGTGTATTTATTTAACTTTTTTATTAATTTTTGTATTTATTTTATTTATTTTGTTATTATTAATTTGTGTTTTTGTTTTATGTATTAATTTGTGTATCCATTTTATTTATTTTATTATTAAACTTTTATACTGTTTTATTTTATTGCTTTTTTTAGGTTAATCTTAGGTCAGACAGAAAATAATGACTCTAGCTAAGTGAACACAATTTAAATACTGTATTTATAATATACACATGCCGTTCAGCCTTATAATCTTAAAATGTGAGCAAAATCAGCTGATTTGTCATCACTTTAGACATTATGCTAGAGAATCATTGCTAGCTCTAAAGTTGCGCTGGTGAAGTAGTAACGGTTTCTGCTGTTCTGACGTCAGCTGTAGTAGTGAATGAATGGCGGAAGAAAGTAGTTCCTCTTACAAAAGTGTTTTTAGACTCTCCGTGATTGATTTTCTTTTTTTAATATATTTTATATATAAGATTGTGTCGTCAAACTGTTGTATAAATGCAATATTACACTCGTAGCAGTGCAATATGGCTGCATATTATCACTTTGCACTTGAAAAACGTATCGAAACATATAGTTCATCAAGATGAGGTTTTTTTTATATATTATTCGACACACTTGAGTCCTCAGCCGTAAATAAGAGTTTCGCTATGAGTATTAAAGCACATTGTGTTTGAAAGCTGTAGTTCCTCTGGTTCCCCATGGGCAGATCACACTGATTTTACAGCGTCACGCTGGAGTTATATTATATAACCAGAAGAATAGGAGAGCAGAGTTTGAGCTCCGCTGCTTTAAAACCCTTCTCCCTCACTCATCTTTGTCTTGTGTGTGTTATAGTGAGGAGGGAGGGGGGGCGGCCCGCGGCCTGTTCCCATGACAACCGTCCCGATGAAATGTCTTGCTCGGTCAGGGCTGTGATTTTAGTAATTGCTGAATCCCAGAGAGAGAGAGAGAGCTGTGTCTGTAACCTTGAGCTGTGGCATTCAGCTTGTATTTTGTAAAAGTACTGAATTAAACAGCAGGCCTGCAGTGCATTACCCATCAGCCCCTGCAGACGCCATAAGACACAAATGTCAGGTGAGCGCTAACAATTGTGCTTATCCCGATCAGAAGCTTTGAATCTGTTTCTGGTCTGGAGGCCCATTATACTCAAACTGAAGCTTTCATTTTATGTATTTATTTTTATTATATATTTTACATTTTTTACAAC